AAAAAAAATCTGACAAGTCAGCAGGAAATGCGTGGACACGAGAAATCAGTTTTACTTGGAAACGTGTCTTATCAAATTTGACAATGCCTATTATGTTTGATTTGAATACCAAAAAAGCTCCCACCGACGTCAATGGGAATCCAATATGTGATATAACTGTGCTGTGTATTAATGATTAATGATGGCAAGGTTAATTCGTATTACTGGTTGATCCAATGTAAGACTGCATTAATGACATTGTTTCTTTAACACTATTATGTTAATGAAAAAGTGAATAGTAATACATGTACTACGGTGACAGTTTTTCTATACTTCACTGTCACTTGGAGAGCCAAATCATATTATACAAACTCCAGGCATCTATCAAGCATGAACGTTCCATGGCCTGTTTGCGTTGTTTTTCTTTGGTGCGCATATTTTCTTCTTTTAAAAAGTCGGTAAATCGAATGTCTAATTTACCCTCCCCTCCACACTTCTTTGTGAAATATTGCAATCACACCTAATCTTTATTATTTCAGCAAGACATATTATATCAATAACTCCAAGGTAACCTGGAAGTTGTGCACTAGGTTAAAGATTTTGAGTGTTTTTCTTTTGTTTTTTTACCCTTTAACTTGTATTTTCTTTCTTTAATATTTAAAAAAAGTTAATTCATTTTTTTTAAATATAATTATTTTTAGGGGGGGGGGATGTTTTACGCCTCCGTCAACACAACTTAGATCATTTAGGAGACAGTCTTCCGACCCTGCAGTCACAGCCGGTCTGGTTTGAGAATAATGCATCTTAGCATAATTGTTTTCTCCCCACTCCAGAATCGACCTCAGGTCTCCTGCTTGCGAGAACGAAGGGGCCTAACCGCTACACCCTAGACGGTCATATAATCAGGCCACCTGCGCGCTACTGACCTAGATTCCTTGTGGGCTTACACACCCGTGTAGTAAGCCCACAACCTTGTAGATCATTAGTAGTGATAAGCCTACGCAGGGTGCGGCGGTCAGTTTGAATTGTTGTTTTCTCATGCTTTGACACT